GATCTTGATATTTTTGAATGACACATTCGGCAGCACTTCTCTTTTCATCGCTTCAGTTGCGCATTCTGCAATAACTCCGATATTAGAGTCTACGAAGACAAAGATTCTGGAGTGTTACTGTTTCATTTAACGCAGGTTAGTTGAGTCATGCTGCAACCACTTCACATTTCCTAATAACTTTTTTTTTACCAGTTACTCTCACTGGAATAACGGTCCTCGATAGGTTGACGAGTGCTGGGACTAATTGTACTCACTACCCATTTCGTGGGGTGTTACTGTTCTTAGGATATTCCATTATACCGTATTGGAAATTTCTGTTTTCGGATATGGATTCAGGAAGTAAAAATTCTATTCTTGCTGGTTTTATGTAATGCAGTTTATGATATCGTTTTGAGCTATGCTTTGGTGAACTCATTTATTATTAATTCCGCATAGGATTATATCCTTAGAGGCAGAACGTAGGTTATTATTTTTAAAATCTAAGGAAAAACTATATTTCCGTAGAAAGTCTAATCCGAGTATCCAAGGGTCTGTAATATTTGCTACATTTGCCGTGAAATGGTATGCGGTACTTTCAAACGTGATGTTTATGTTTGATTTATAATTAATGTCGATTTTATTCCCGGAGTCTGGAGGTACACAGGGCGGATGATGGTGACATTGGCTTCTGAATCAATGGTAGAATTGCATAATTGTTACTTTCTTGAAATTGAAAAGGATTGGATTTCTGGAACGGACCATCTTATGACAGGAGACCCGGGGTTCGATCTGGACCTTCTGAGAGGGGGTACAACTGCCGGGACACTGAAGCACTACCTTATAGACTCTCCTGTCCTAGTCCAGCATCAGCCTTATATAGTTTTCACGCGGTAGCCAAGATATTTCTAGCACTTTCTCTTTCTCGAAATAACTGGAAGATATATGAGGCCCAGATACGGTTACAGCTAATACAGTGATCAATTACAGTTATTCAATTACAGTACACTTAGTACGGTGACACAGGGACCAGAACAAAATGTCGCCAAGTTTAGCGACTTTTGGTGATTTTTCTCCAAATTTAGAAACAAAAGTTAGTCACCAAAACCGTTGCCAACTTAGTAATGTCTCGCCAAATTAAAGAGATAACTATTTACTCAGTGTTAAATAGATTTGTCCCTGTATTGTTATTTTTCTGGTAGAGCATTCTCTCTCTAGATTTTAATATTACATTATACAGAAATATACAAAAATTTCACATATAATTTAACTACAATGATCTATGCACAAAATTCATAACAATATTTTTCATAGCACATATCTTTTAAATATCAATAACAACTAATAAACACAAAACACGTTTATTTTAATAAAATTTTACAAATGACTAGCACAAATACATCAATGAATGAAATTGGACTAGTAACGTATAACTCAATTTCTAGCGATTTTAGAACACTATAAAAATATGAAATAATATGTGAAGTCACACAATGAAGTACCATAAATCATATAAATAGTAAAAGGAAATTTCTCACAATTTATTGAATACATGTCACTATTCTATATTCCAGAAAAGTTACACAAATGCATATCAAAACAGTATGATTCGGAAAACAACAGACATTTTGAAATATCAATATTACCATTTTGAAGGTGCCACCATTTCCCTAACAAACTAAAACTGATTCCTGTTTAGCTCATTGTCCTTAAAAAGCTTTATAAAGTCATTTAAATTTTATAAATATTATCATTTATAATCTTCATAATTTAATAGTTTTTACTTTTAGTGATTTTCGTTTCTTAATATACAGCAGAATAAAATATGAAAGGGTGAAAAAATTCGCTTAATTGTTTTCTTAAATAAACATCCAAATCATCTTTAGATTAAATTGCTGTATTTTTAAAAATGTCATGAAGTAATAAAATATTAATTTATATATGTATTTTATCTTTTTACTTTTAAGAATTTAAATTTAATAAGATAAGAAAAATAGTGATTTATTCAATTTTTTCAACAATTATTTAATAAAATTACACGTTTAAATCAAGAGTATGCAAGAGGTAAAGTCAATAAATTTGTTTCTGCCCGAATTTCAATTTAAGTCACAATTTCAATTACTAAACTGTTGTAGAAGTTTCAAATAATAATAATTTTATACTGCATATATTATGTATGCTGTTTCAGAGAGTTTTACACATTAGCATGATCATTTCGGACTTTACCACCACTAAGAAGCTATCGAAATTTACAAGCTTTCTTTTATGGTGAAATATTTTTTTTTTCCAAATACTTATTAATGGTATTTACATATCAGTGCTAAAGGTCACACAAGTGAACATTAGTAACAACAACAAACCAGTGCAACCACTTCAGCACAGTTTGGCGACTTTTTCATACAGGAAAAAAAAAAGTCGGGGTAGGCTGGGTAGAATGCTAATATATAATGAATTGGTACAATTGGAATAATTATTCAGTACATATATACATTGCATTTTAATTAAATATTTAGCCTGAAAATAAATATATAAACCTACTTACGAGTTGTTTTTTTTTTTTTTTTTTTTTTTTTGTTTTGTTTTCTCTCGTTCTGTTGGAAATTTCATTGCGATTATCATATAAACAGATTGAAAGCAATTGTTCTCTTCAGCAGTTTTCAGCAAAATGCTGTATTCCTGCAGAAATTTTACTAAAGTTTCTTTCTTGCAGCTAAAAGCTTGAAGTATACATTTGAAAATTGAGGGTAAGACCAAAATATAGGATGATTTGTTAATAAAAACCATCGGAACTTGTATTACAAAAGCATGAATGCATACACAGATTCTTGTTAAAAGTGAAGAATTGTTATATGCATGATTACAAATTTGACAACTTCTGCTGATGTGGCTGCCCTAATATGTAAGAATGTTAAGTACCTTATTAATAAATTTATTATAATTTACAATTGATAACACTAGTGCATTATTAAACATTTTCTATTAATTCATTCTGACAATTTAAGACCATGTTTTTTCCATTAATTTTCAACAATAACAAAATCTTGGCAAATATCACATCATGTATATAGATAACATCAACTATGTAGATAATTGTGTATGTAATAATTAAATTAATACTATATGATAAAAATATAAACATACTTTTTTAAATACAAAAAGGCAAATTAATAATTTTATGTCTACCTTTTTTTTTTTTTTATTTAAGCCAGAAAGATACAGAAAAGTGCTTTAATAACCAAGGAAAAAATATTTTAAAAATTTCATATAAATGGAATGGGAACGACAAAAACATTTCACATGTAAAATTGATTTCAAGTTGAAAATTTTTTTCAAGTACAACAAACAATAGAAGAACAAGGATTTGTAATTAAAAAACTGACAAGAGAAAGTAAGAGCAAGAAAATAATTCAGAAAGTAATATAAAAACACATGTTACAAGATGTTTTTACAAACTATGAAACACATCTGATGAAAAAATATCTTACAACTTATAATTTTTATTAGAATAGCTTTTAAAAACAAAGAATATGAGTTGTTAATTTGTGAACAGTAAGAACTATTATAATATTGTTACGAAATGTACAGGCGCGGTGAGATAGCTTCTCTGCAAAGGGTTGCCATAAAATGGCAAGGAAAGCAGGGTTTCCACATTTGGCGACATGCCATGGATGGATGGAGAACCTTCTGGAACGAATTCTTACCAGTTCAGCCCAAAATGTTCTCGAACACAACCCGAAAGCTATATAAACCCTGCTGGTATGCGGAGAGTTAGTTAGTATCGAGTTGGTGACTCATCTAGTGAGTCGATCCCTGCGGAGTCGATCAAGTTTACAGCCGGGCAGCAAGTGCCGAGTGGGTCGTCGAGTACATCGGAGAGTCTCTTAGTGTATCGTGGTTAGTGCATCGTCAAGAGAGTTGTTGAGCTCCGGGAACGACTGAACCAAGAGTCGGGAGCTGTGCTCTGTGTGTCGTCGAGTGCATCGCGAGTTGGAGCGTGGAGAGTACATGAAGTTCCGAGAACAACCGACAGAGTCGGGAGCTGTACTCTGGTGCTTTGCAATGAAGCTGTCTCCACCGTTCTAGCCTGATAACCTGAAGGCTGTGTTGCCGATTGTTCCAGCGAGTTTATAGTAGATCTTCAAACGTAAAACGTGACTTTTTAGCTGTTCTGATTAATACCGGCCAATAAAGAGTGTTTCGATACTTCATCAAGTGTCGTCATTATTCACTCCAAATCCCCATGAACCCCGTCCGAACATGAAGGAAGAAAATAACGTAACAACTGGTGTCAGAAAAGAAAAACGCAACAATATACAAGCTTGTGCAACATTTTAAAATTGGACGGATTGAAATTGGCAAAATAAAAATAGCAAATTTAGTTTAGGAATATACACTTATAGATATATATATAATTGTAATCATCCTGATTATTTTGGATGGAATGTTTAATTTTATAAAAAATATTAGTAAAATTGTAGGAATTGATATACAGTAAAAAACTACAAAAATTGGTCACACCACAGCACTTCAACTTCCTGCTTATTTTACAAAAATATTTTATTGTAATAAAAATGTTGGCAAAATTAGTTTTAAAAAAGTAAATATTGTATTTTCTTATAAAAATGGTAATAAAAAAATAAACGGGAGAGATAAATATGCCAAACTTTAACTATTATTATTCATAAAATCAATTACAAATTAAATTTATGAGCTGGACATTATAAAAGATATTATCAGTTTATATTAGTTATTCTGTATGTCACTTGAACATTTAAGTTATGAAATTATTATTTTTTAAACTCTAGACTGCTTGAGTAAATTTATGATAGAGAATTTGAAAACTGTTTAATCTTAAAATAAGGAATATAATGAAAAAATTAAAGAATTATTTCCATTAATTCTTTAATTTTTTCTTCCAATAATCTTTAATTTCAATTAAAGAATTATTTCCATTTTTGAAATAAAGTTTAAGAAAAACTTTTATACAATATATAAGAAAATGGATGGATTATCATTTAAGGCAGCAAAATAATGAGTATGCTGGAAAGTTTATACTTATTTAGAATGTTACAGCTAGCTGTCTCTGAAATAACTCTATTTTTCTATTCTAACTATATATTTAGCATAAATTACATAAAATTATTTGAAAAAATAATTATTAAACTTAATTTCTTCTTTGTGATATACTTAAAAATATAAACTGCATACGAATGTTACATAATTACAAATTTATTTCACTAATATTCCTCATTTTTGATAATGCAATTTATGTAGTTTGCTTGTGTACTGAGGCCTGGTGGCACAGTGGCTAGCACGTTGCACAGCAGCACAAGTTGGTGGTTCGATCCCAAGGCTAGGCAAGGTTGACCCAGACTTTTATTCCTTAAGTGGGTCGATAAAATGAGTACCAAGCTCACTTGGGAACTAAACACCGGGTGTCCTGTGACAGCTGATCACTTGTCCAGGGCATATATTCATGCAACCTGGGCCCTAGGTCAAGAAAGCAGATATTAGGGAACTGAAGGCCATGACTCTCTAAGGGCTGTTGTGCTACTAAGTTTAATTTAGTTAACTTGTGGATTGATGATGATGTCGTGTCTAATGCAAAGTGCAATTATATAGCTCAGAAGCTGTCAAAGACAGCTTTTACAACCTCGGCAGCTCTATCAGTATAAAGTAGGTCCACTGGGTCTTCAATGCTGATGTTATACAGTCTGGCCTGGATTGCTGAGCAGGTGCTTGTGCATAATTTTTTTTTAATGCATTGCATGCAACATCACGTTCAAAATTAAACAATTCAACACAAATATGAATTTTATCTGCAATTTTCATTATTAAATTACAGCAATTCATGAAAAATGCAATAACCAGCATTAAAAACATTGAAATTGAGCAGAAAAGATTCACATCAAAATGGCAAATATTCACTGGAATACTTATTTTTATAGGTCACAGATACTTTTACATCACTTTCTCGAATAATAAACAAGTTCTATAGTTTTTCATTAAATAATACAATAATTCTTAACTAAAGTTCTCATTAAGTGATGATTAATTACTTCTAACAGCTCCTTCTTTCTAAAACATTATTATCCATGATCCCCCCCTCAATAGTCCAAAAATATATTTATAACATTAAATTTTTTAAGCTAAATAATTTGCAGATTACCTAGTAATTTACTGTCATTATAAACAAAATTTAATTATTATGATATCATTTTAATATTAAAACTTTATCTACAGATGCTCATGTAACACACACATATTAAAGGTACTAAATAATACATACACATACCTCAAAATATGACTAGATAATTTTGTAGTTGCATTAATGCCAACATTTATACATGAAATACAATGTCAAAGCTTAATCACAATAAGCAAGACTAATGCCATAACAAAGTAAAATAATGTCAAAATTCTGAATGTGCACATTGGCATAGATTATTCCATGATTAAGTAATGTAATGATAAAAGATATAACAAGAATAATCTAATTACAAATATAAATTAAATCTTCATAATGTTTCATGTTTCTTGACATATATTATTGTCATCTGATAATTATAGACATGTGCCATATGATTTCACATTTTATGCATTAGAATAGTACAATGCATTCGAATAGTACAAGATAAATAATATTTAAGTAATCGACAGAAGACCATAGCAGATGAAAATGAAAACCACAAGTTTAATTCTTCACAAATTTAGGGAGAGGGAGAAAAGAAAGAGAGAAATTTAGTCCTGAACATCTCCAATATAATACTTTATTATTTTTTTTTTTCCTTTGGGAAAGAGAAACATGAAAAACTAAAAATCTCTCTATATAAATTCATTATATTGCATGTACAAGTTATTTCCTTTATTGAAAAGAATAAAAATTTCCTATTCAAGGAGAGATGCTCACTCTGTTAGTCAGAATTTTAAAATTACATTCAAACGTTACTTCCAGCCTTACATAGAAATATATTTGTAATTAAATACACATATGTGCATATATGTAGACTCATACATATACATATGTGCATATATGAATACTTATAGTGGTATATATGTAATAATTTAGAACAGAAGATGAACATACTTGCAATCATTGCTATTTTAATATTTATATTTTGCATAAACAATTTTTTAAGCCAACACAGAAAAACTGGAGCAGTAAGTGTGTTTATTCTTGAAAAACTACACTGGGTACTTTTAAAGTTTTTAAATCATATTAAAAGACAAATGAAACAGCAGGCAGCAAAGTGAGAGAGAGAATGTGATGCATTCAAGATGAAAGGCTAGTTCAGAATGACTTGGTTTTAGTTTATTTTTGCCCCTATTAGCTAAATTTTAGCTCCCACATTTGAAATCATTACTGGCTAAAGCCTGCCTCATTAGCATTATAAATGAATAATATGACACAATTAATTTTAAAATAATGCATTTCAGAATGATTTATTATAAGCAGTTACTATTTTTATGACAGAAAGGGAAAATAATTAAATTAAAATGGACACTTAAGAGACTATAGTGAATTAAAGATAGTATTCTGATTTATATATAAAAACTTGACATTTTGTTAACTTAAAAATTTTACACCTATATTTTTTACTCAACACCTTTCCCTCAGATAGGATAATCTGGATTTCATTTACCCAATATAATCTAATTTTATATATAAAGAAGAAATATACACATGAAAAAGTATCAATCAAGAAAAAGTATATGAATCAACTTACATAACTGTATTTGCATTACAATATAAGATGTTAAATGATGAACTGAGAGTTCAATGAGAATAATATCAATATTTATCAATCGTAACTAGAAATCTAAAAAGATTTTTTTTTTTTTATTCTGAAAAAATAAAGCAGATTAAATAGCAAACAATACTTGGCAGTAGTGTGCAATGATAAAATAAGAATTAAAAGTTTATAAAAAATTGCATTTGGTAAAATTATTTTAATATACTGTCTGCCTAAATAAGAGAAATAATCTCTCCTTCACAAGAAGAGACCACATCATGAGATTTCAGACAATCCTAACATATTACTTTACGTAAACCAGGATAATGATGCATGTTCTGTGACAATAGTATTTGGATTCACTCATTTGCAGCCTTAAACGGGTTCTCTGCATCTCTTCCTGCACTCAAATGAACTCCTCTTCCTAACAAGTGAAGTTAAGTCTCTTCTCACAGTTGGAAACATACCATAAAAGCTCAATTTGCAAACTAGAGTAGAAAAGAATGCTAAAATTTTCTTTTTTGCTAGCATAGAATTTGATATATTTTCATGAAGCAAATTATGTTGTTTTGAAAATGGACTGACATTTATCATCCCTGTGCAGAAGCATCCTAGGATTCTATTGCACCGGATGGTCTATAATTGGGCAAATAAAATTTTTAAAATTATGCAACATTATCTTAATTACATTGTTTGCATTCAATGTAATTAAGATAATGTTTTTCTTTTAGTAAAGGTCTATTTTTAATGCACTTCACAATTACTTTTATGACTATTCAACATTTAAGTGCACATTTAGCTTATATACTAGGCCTATGAAAAAATTTGCAGTTCTTTCATAACACTTCAAGACCAATTTTCTTCAATTAATATCTAAATTTATCTAAAGATAATTTTATTTCTTCATTTTAACAATATAAATAATTAATAAGAATTTAAATTCTTCATCTAGAAACAATTTTTTTAGATTAAAAAATAGTTTTTTTATATAGAAAATATTAATAAATAAATAATAAATCACCACAAACCAGCATTTATTATGTTACATCTGTAGTCAAAATAAATTAGATAATTGACAAAAAGGGTGCAGATTTGAAAATTGCTTAAAAAATTTATGCTGCAATAGTTAAAACACATTACATGTAAAAACAATGAGTACACTGTATAACCCTTTGTATTTGTATATCCATCTGCATAAAAACTACCATGCATGTTAATAGTGCATAATAAGTCGAAATAATAATTTGATAAATATAAGCTACTTCAAACAAATGAAACAAAATTATAAAATAATAGATTACAACACCAATTACTATAATAAATATTCCACAATTTGTTCAGTTACATATTTAATTTTTATTCTGAACAAAATTTCTCAGTTGATCACTAAGCCATTCAACACCCTCTCCAAGTCCTTCACCAGTCAATGCGTTGCTTGCACAGATGTGCCATGGTTTGTTTTTTAAGCGATCTAAACCTAGAGCTTGACTAACTTTGACGCTCGATAACGCTTCTCTCAAATCCATTTTATTTGCAAAAAATAAAATAGGAATATTGCGATCTTTTATATCTTTATGCTGTAGCATCATTTCAAGTTCATCTTTGGCTACAACCATACGCAAGGCATCACTACTATCAATTACAAATATAATGCCCTGCGCTTCTGGATAGTAATGTTCCCATAAATTTCTGTACCGGCCTTGCCCGGACATATCAAAAGCAGTGAAACTCAAATTTTTCATTCGAAAACGATCAACATTAAAACCAACAGTAGGAACAATTTCCAAAGATTTTTGTTCTTCAGGTTTGAAATGATTGATAATCGTTGTTTTGCCGCTGTTATCTAAACCTACAATTAATACATTCACTTCTCTTTTTTTTATTCCAAGAAAATATGCCAGTTTATCAAACAAACCCATATTAAAAATTATAAATCAGAGTTGATTACGAAGGCGTTTAAAAAATATATAAATACAATTACTTTTCTCAATTCAGAGCAGAAAAGTATAGTAAAATTAAAACAATATTGCGATTAAGTATAGTTGTTTTACGTCTGGTGTTTCACAAATAAAACAAATTCTGTGACTGTTTTTGTTTATGCCTATCCAAAAAATCAAATGCAGATGATTTTTAATTCAAATCTTTCATTAACATAGGTATTTTATTTTTTCGAGATTTTGAACGTGTCAAAATATATATTTTCTACCAACAGAAAAAAGACAAGTTTCATTTAAAATTGAATAAAAGAAGAATACTTAATTTTTTTGTATAATGCCGAGTTTTAAATTTCTTCCTAAAAGGAAATTTAAATTAGAAGAAAAAAGTTATAAACTACTTGGTTTTTGTAAATGGAAGGTGGCTGTATCACTTTTAAAGGCGACGCGTGTTCGGTGTTTTAAGAGTCGTGTGTCTTTTTATATCGAAATCATGTATTATTCCGTTTTTTGTTTGTTAGTGCTTAGTTTTTGTAGTGTTAGTCATGCAGAGCTCATAAATAATAAATTAGATCGTAATATAGACATTGCATCACAATTAGTAAAAGTTTTGATCAAACTTACATTAGAAAACACAGGAAAGTCGCCGGTATCAACATTTCTCTATGCTTTGGACCCAGGAACAAAACCTCATTTATCGTATATTGGAGCATCGGTATGTTTCAATGATATAAGTAATAAAGTCTCTTGAAAACTAGATTAGACTAAATAGAATGTTTCATCATGAATTTCATTTCTGATTATAGCATGTAGTTCCATTCCGAAATGTAATGAGAATTCTTATTAAAAATATAAGACATAAGCAGTAAATTGTAAAATGTTTAAAGAAAATAGAAAATTTTTTACTGGGTATTGCATCTCTGAGGAGAGGGATTATATTTCAAATGTTGCCTATCAGTATGATTGATTACAAAAAATAAAAAATTCTGCAAGAAAAGGATGTGTAGCCCTGTTGACAGTAATTCTGAATGACAAGACTATTAAATGTGGATAAATGAATATCAAAATAGTGTGCGAGAATTTTTTGGCATATGTAGAAAATGCATGTAAATACGCTACTAATGTGTTTATTCCATTATATAAAATTTTATTGCTTAAAGTTTACACTTTTTCTGCATAAAAACAGGCATTAAAAGAAGAAAGCGGTTTAATCCTAGTATCCGGTGCACACGAGATTTGGCGACTTTATGATGAGCAGTAAAAACGGGACATATACGATGAGTAGTAAACGGGTCATTCAAGGAATATATATAGTTATATATAGTTTATACTATGTATATAGTGTATAGTATATACATAGACGTTCTTTGGGTCATTTTTGGTGTTCGCTATAATTTTCAAAATCGCTCCAAGGCTGCACCGTATACTAGGATCTTACCAAGAAAGCTGTAGCTTAGAGATTAGAAATTAACTAAAGGAGTTTTCTCCCCCTTTCCCTGGAAAGTGGTTTACTCCCATTATATTAGTGGTTTTAAAGATTACTAGTATTGAATAGAAAGTGTATATTTGTACTTTTTTAGTATACTTTTTGCTGTTATTAACATTTATTAATACACTTTAATAATCTTTAATAACTTCTTGCTGTTTATGTTTTAAATATTTCTCTGGAATATATATGTAGGAATAAGACACATACAGAAAGGTAAATCGTGGGCATGTTTTTTATTTTTTGCAGCACTCTTAAATTAATGATTTCAGTGTAATACCGTTGATGCTTACACATAAATAACAAAAATGAAAAACTTCTATCCAACAGAATTTAAGGCCTACCAGTGGCCGAGTGGACAGAATGCTAGACAGCGGCCAAGTGGTAAAGTCGCTGAACACTGGTAGTTCAGTCCAAAGTTCGAATCGTACGAAGAGGCAGTCTGCATGGGCATTTTCATGGTTTTTCCCTTGTGTAACATGTATACGAGCCAGTTTCTCTCAGAAAGTCCTTCATAAAGGGATCTCTTCCCTTAGGCAGATAGCCCTCGAGGCTTTGCCAAAATCGCATAAAACCAAACCAACAGAATTAAAATCAAGAGATATAATTTAATAATAACATCCTCTGGTAAAAAGAAAAACAGAATTCTTAAGTAAATTTCATGTTTCTTAAATAAACCTTTCCTCTCTTAATGCATACTTTCATCCATAATCATGTTCTGCAAGAATGAAGCTTTAATGTAATGAATATGTATTTAGTAGTAGTATCTGAAATGGGAGCACCTACATCTTCACTGAAGAACAAAGTAGTCAAATATGAAGAAAGGTGTTATGTAAATGGTTCATGTTTAATTTTGTGTATTATCTCAAGTTATATATACGTTCCTCCTCAAATATTATTCTCTCCAGTCTTGGTTGAATGAAAGGAAATGTAATAAAGGGATTTCTGTATTGCTGTTTGCATACAGGCAGTGGTTCATTTTCATATTTTCATTATCTTAGGAATATCTGGTACACTAAAATCTCGTATTTTCTTTTTATCATATATTTGATAATATTGTTAAATTTATTCAAATAATAACTAAAAGTTTTAGGCTTCACATATACTTGTACTCTTTAATAATGAAGAGCGCATTCTTAGAGATTAAAATGAACTCGAAAACGGAAGATTTCAAATTTTCAGTTTTGTTTACAAGTTATGAAATGCATCCAAAATTGTAAATGCTGTATGTATATCTCTTAACCTTTTTGCGACGGCGCACCTTTGTTTAAGGTGCTTGTGCAGGACAGAAGAGAATCGAAGGCAGTCGCCGTACAGGACGGAGGTTTTTCATCGCTAAGCCTAATTTTATAACAAAAATTTGAAAAACAAAAGTTTCGCTTCTAGCATCGTAATTTTTGGTATCATTTTAGATTATTACTTGAGCTCTTATATATGTTAAAATTAGCCCTTAAAACATTTTTTTCTTCATTTTACATGAAAATATACTTAAAAAATTGCTTATCTTCTAAAATAATTTTCGGAAGCACTATTCAAATTATTACAAAGTTTTAATTGATAAAAATCCATCAATAAAGTTTTAAATTAATAAATAGAACACAATAAAGACTATTTACAGTAAGAAGTAACAAATTTTAAAATGAAAACAAGTGTGGTAAATCTCGAAGCACAGAGAAGTATCACTTTGTAACTCTTAGAAAAAGTATCACTTTTTAACTCTTTAGAAAATGAATCAGTATTCTCATTTGCATTAGTTAAATGGTTCACTAACCCATACAAGGTATTCTTCCTCTGATAAATAGCGCCTTCCCGCCATAATAGACTGGAGGTGAGGCTTTCCTAAATAAAAAAAGAAGGAACGGAAATATATCTGAAGGCAATGCGAAACGTAAAAAAACTCCGCACAGTAACCCTAAAAGACCGTACATAGCAGAGGGAAAAAATAGAATTAAAAAAGGAATTGGATATAAATCAAATACGAGAATGTTTTCATTAGCACGCAGCGATTTAAAGAGCCCACCTCTGTTTATGCTTTCCCTCCGCCCTCCCCTTAGAACAGCTGATGAGTAACATCCAAAGTCAAGCAGAATATGTCAAAGTCAGGAACCTAAAACTATGTTCATTTCAAAAGTAATGGACACAGGATACCATCTAGTGGCCTTTAGGAAAATGTTCCATCTTAAAATGCATATACGCATCACCCGTCCTCTGAATGTGATCTTTACTGATGCATAGATGGGACGCCGGGCTGTAAGAGACGTTTTTAGGGAATGCGTATATGGGACGCCCGTCCTGAAAGGGTTAAGCTGACATTTGTTCCATTATGTCTTGAAGTTTCTTCTCAATTTCAGTCTGTGATAAAAATGCCAGTTATGATAGAAAGCTAATTTAGGAATCTTGTTACTAACTTAACACAATTTCTTACTGAGAATTGTTGAGATAATTTAAACTAAAAGTAAATAAATAAAAAAAATTTAATTTGAAAAGGGGTTTTCAGATTTGAATGATGTGGAAGAATTATTTTTTTTTCTTTTTTGAACGATTTATCAATCTTCATGTGCTTATTCTTTTTGTCTCTTCTTTTTACTATTTTATTCTACCATGTAATAGAAAATAAAAATTTTCATTGCTTTTAAGGTTAATCGACTTTGTAGCGTCTATTTTTTTTAAACGTGAATACGGACATCAAAAGTGATTTGATGGAAAAGTCAGGTTCTAGACTAATAGCCATTTTGGATAAAAAATATTTTTTTCATTTGTAACATCTCTAGTGAAGGACTTTGTTGTGCTAGTACAGAGTCTTTGAACTCTCCATCCCCCCCATAAACGTAATATTTAATCCTAAGCAACTTTTAAATTAATTATAAACAACTGTATTATATTGCATCATAAAAAATAAGATAAATAAATTGTCACCCCTCAGAAAAGAAGCCTGGTGTTGCCATCTGTTGTCAAGGTTCCCTCAGTATAGTTGCTGAAAATTGTATAAATAATCTTTTAATTATCATTTTGATTGAAATGCAGTGAATATGTAAGGTTCAGCATGTGTAAATCATGCATTTAAAGATTTTTGAGTATTTTCCTCCCCTCCAATAGAATTTATGAATCTTCAAACATACCCTTTGAATGATTCATATTGATTTCATAAACTGTAAAATAGGGCAGTGTTGCCATTTAGAATCAAAAGGAAACAGTGGAAACTCAAGATTACAGCTTTTGGTATAGAAAAACCGGTCTATATAGTCAGTAATCATCTGTCATTAAATCATACCTGTTATGAGAAAGGAGAACTTGCCTTGATTCTTTAAAATTAGAAGATTTTGTCTCAGTTAATAAATTGAACAAGGCAGTTTCCTTCAGTAAGTTATATTAATTAAAGTGATAAAGGAAGTTATTTATGTTCTTTATCAATTTCTGTCTCTAACCTGAGAATTCTTTCTAGTATAAGTAAATGAAGGTGTGTTTTTAATGGGTGTTTGATTGTCGTTGCTTTGTTGACGGTGAAACTCGATTGCATCTTTAAAAATAACAAAAAACTTCAGGTTTTATCTTCCAGAAAGTATTCCTGTATATTTTTACTTGGTAATGTGATAGTTACACATTCTGTCTTAATACTTTTAGTTATAATTTCTTTCTTGAACTGAATAAATTTTGCAAAGCTGGAGCCAGATGTGTTTGTTCAGCAGACATGCTTTTGCATATCACTAAGTATATTTATTGGCTCTGAAAATAATCTCCTTTTGTATTAAATGATTTTTCAAAGTTTCAACTCCCACTATAGGTAAATTCTGCTCCCTGCAGTGTATATAGGACTTGGTTTGGATGTTCTGAAACCATTTTTTTTTTTTTTTTTTTTTTTTTTTTTTTTTTTGTAGGAAAACAAAGATATTTACTAATCCTGGAATTAGTTGACAGGCTGTGACATATTACTGAAGAAACTGGTGAAAGAGCGATTAGATGTGGCAGTTTTGTGAAAAAACTTTTTTTATTTTTCCTAGGAATTTTTTTGGGGGGGATGGAAAGGTACTTTCCTGGTTTCCCGGTAAAGCTATACTGCTGCTTTTTTTTTTGTGTGTGTGCCAATTTTCTTTTCGGCAAATGTTGCTCGTGTGGTTTGACATCTTTTGCTGGTGATAACTGTCTTTGTAAACATGATTTGTATAGGTGCATTTTTCATTTTTCATTTTATGCTTGTTGTGTAGTTTTATTCTTTTTTAGTGTTTATTACTTATTGCTATTTTGTGTGTTTGATTTGATCTTATACAAGCAATAAATATAACTACTTCCTCCCTATATTTGTCATTATTTCATGCTTCTTCTTTCTTGAAGAGGGTTTCAGAGATGACAGCAACTGAAATAAAAAGGGATTAAACAGAAAATTTGTAAAAAGTAGAAAAAAAAAAAAAAAAAGTTTCGCAGTTTGAAGCAATTTTTTTCCTACAAATTATTGGCACACCACCTAGACGTTAGCTGATATATGTAGTCAGTTTAAGAACCTATCTATCCAATCCTTGAAGTATTGAATAAATCTCAATGCTTGGAATTTTTAATTAGTTTAGCATATTTTTATATTTTATTTTTGAACAGCAGACTTAACTATTTTCAAACTGAAATGTTTTTTTTATAAAGGCTACAACATTAATACATAAGAGTATGATTTCTTATTTCTCTTAGATTTGTTCACTTAGTTCTGTTTGCACATAGTATAATATAGGCACGTCCAAACTGCAGCTCTTGCTTCGTAAATGTGGATTCTGTCATAGCACATAATTTTATTTTAGAAATACCAGTCATTTCCCCTTGAAACAGAAGTCATGCTACTACACACTTTTTTAATGAATTTCATTTTTCAAATTATGTTATATGTATATAGTAGTACTTTTGAGTAATTGCAAACTACAGACCATTTTTTGGACTTCGGAAGAGAAGACTAAAATTTAGTCTGAATTTCTTTATTTCTTTATTTTTTTTTTTTTTAAATTCCTTACAACAAAGACTAATGGTTGTCCTTCATAGTTTATTCTCATGAAAATCTGATATTTTGATATTAAAAATTATTAGAAAACATCATCCTAAAAAAGGCATTTCTTTATTCGTATTCCACTTACAGAAGTACCTTGCAAAACAGAATTGAGACAGACTTGACAGAAGTAATATAAGTGTTAGTAATGGTATTAAACAGAAAACTTATATTGCATTCAGATATTGAAAGTCTTTTTTATTCCCTCTAGCAAGTGCAAGAAGAAGGCAAAATTAACTTAAAAACTGAAGAAGTGGCTTCTCCACAAAAGTAAGTGTTTTTGGAAATGAAATAAGGAGTTTTACAAATGCATTTTTTCATTAAGAAAAGGTATCTAAATTTGTAATTTAATTTTTGTTACTGATTTTTTTGTAGTATTAACTGATTACTTTTGCATTAACACCAGTGCATAGTCAGTTGAAGTATTTCCCAAAACACTACTGAGGCTTATGAATTTTTGCATTATCATTAATTAAACAATAGCTTTGTGAGTGAATATTCATTCAAATTATATAATTTGTATCACTTCAAAATTCTTTTGTATGTCTCCAACAGATTTCAAACACTTAATTTAACATTTTAGTGCTATAATTTTTTTTTTTCTATTTGATCGTAAGAGGTTCTTTTATCACTTTTTTTATTGTTGTTTCTTTATTTGATGAGTCCTTTTTTAATGAAGTTATGAGAATGTTGCTCAGGTTGCACTGTAAAGGTAGACAACATACCTATATAAAAGGGAGAACCTGACAACCATAAATAACCATGCTCTATTTTTGGTATTAACAAATCTGGGACGAAAAATATATTTATGGATGCCCCTTGTCGAAAATTGGCGATTTTTGATGGCACATGGATACCGAGTTTGTGAAATTCTTCAACTTGTTATTTTGTCTTTGTGTATCGATTATTATTACTTGTTATTTTGGTGATTTTTGGCGCCAAAAATCACTGCTACACCAAGACAAAGTAACAAGTCAGAGAATTGCACAAACTTGGTATCCATGTACACATCGACCTATTTTCACTTTAAAAAAAAATCAGAAAATTGCACAAACTTGGCATTGCGCACTCCTTGACTTTATCCAGAATTTTTTTAGTTTGTGCAATTCTTTAACTTGTTATTTTGGCTTTGTGTAGCGATTATTATTACTTGTTAATCAATAAATATATAAACTTGGCATTGCATACTCCTTGACTTTATCCATGTACTCATCAACCTATTTTCACTTAAAAAAAAAAAAAAAAAAAAAAAAAAGAATCAGAGAATTTCACAAACATGGCATTGTGCACTCCCTTGACTTTGTCCATGTACACATGAATCTATTTTTGTTTAAAAAGTCAAAGGAGCACCCAATTCTACAGTAGAGCCAAACAAAAAATAATAATCTCAATAAACTGCATTTTAAATCATACAATAAAATAACATAAAAAAGGAAATTCATCTTATGCATCTAAGCACTACACAAAGCAAATATCTACTTACCATACTTAGAAATTTCTGCATCTTCAGTCTGTAGCACACAAAATTCCTTAACAACATCCAAAAACCTAAAATTATCTGAACTAGAATCCGTATATCGCCGTCGCCACATGAATTCACAAAAGTAAGAGTAAAAAATATCCTCCATAGTGTTGGTATCATCCAACATTCAACCATACTCATTTCCTTCCTACAAACAGGACACTTATAATGGCTACTAAATAAATCTTTCATTTACTTACCAGTCAATTAATGTCTTTTTTTTTCTCCTTTCGTTCCAAATCGTACAGAAACTTCAAAATAATCTTACCACATTCAGCCATTTAGCCGTCTAAACCACAAAGCAAGCGATGTACTTCCTAACCAACATACAAGCCTTTATAAATCTTTTCCCATCATTCAAAATTTACCGCAATCATGTAACCGATTATGTCATAATAGGGTTTCCATAACATTTAACTACTCGGGTTACCGTAAATGAAACAACAACTTGGCGATAAATGAAATAACAACTTCGCGATAATATAAGGGGCACCCTTCAGTCTACTCTAACCAACCTGGACCCAGTGCTATAGCAGCTAACTAACCACCACTTTGAGCAGAGTGGCTGAGTCATAATATTATATTTCAGGAAAATATGAATCTCATAAATACTGTGTTTCTGAATTTTTCTTGGAACCTACTGTTCTGTTAAATTTTTCGTTATGTTTGTTTCATTGCTTCCTTCGTGGATCTCAAGAATTTTCTAAATAGGGAAACAGAAATCATAATATTTACCTGCTCTTACTGATTTAATAATTGCTTTGAACCTATATTGCAAGCAGTGGCTAGTCAATGTCTACTATAAATATATAAATTAATTAAAAAAAAACTTGGTATCTGAAAATCTAACATTGCTTTTTATTAGCTGAAGAATGAATTTATTGTGAAGTTTAAAAAATATTAAAATGTGAGAAATCTCAAAAATAGTATTTTTCTTTTTTCAAATACAATTACCTACTGCTTCATTTGTATGCATTTAAATACTAAGTTGTTGTGTCAAACTGGTGGTAAGCAAGAGCAAAATAGGTGGTACACAGAAATAAAGTAATTTTAATTATTGAATTAAAAAATCTTGTGAAGAAAAAGAACAGTTGATAGAAATTTCCTGTGATCGAACTCTTAACTGAAGATTTCAAACACATTTGTTAACGTTTGGCTGAACCAAAAAAAAAAAAAAAAAAAAAAAAAAAATAAGGGCATTTCAAATAAAGTTATAAAATTTTTATTGCCTCTTTGCGCAACCTATTTGTGTAAACAAGGATTTTCTTCCATGTTTACATTTGAAAAATAAATACAGAACAAAATTTAAAGTAGATTCTAATTTACGGTTAAAACTAAGTGAAATAAGGCCAGACGCTCAAATTTGACACTAAATTTTATAATTAAAGTGTTATACCTTAAATTTCTATAATTAAAATGGTAACCAATTTTTATCTAGTATTTTTATGTGTGCATATTTAAGGTAAGAGTTGACTTTACCCCTTGTATTATTGCCAAGTTGCTGTTTCACTTACCGCCAAGTTGTTGTATCATTTATGGTAACCTGAGTAGTTGAATGTTATGGAAACCCTATTATGATGAAATCATTTGCATTATTTTGGGAAATTTTGAATCATGGGATGTTTTTGCAAGGGCTTTTGTGGTGTGTGTTGCTTATGAAGTACATTGCTTGTTTCATAGCTTAGACGGTACAATGGCTGAATGTAGTAGGATTAATTTGAATTTTCTGTACGATTTGGAACGAAAGGGGAAAAGTGCATTAATTGACTGGTGTGTAAATAAAGGTTTACTTAGTAGCCATAGTCCGGAACTACGTACAGTAAAATGTCTTTAATCCAGACATCCATAATCCGGACCTCAAAGCTACAAACTTTCTACACATGCATAGCGTTTATGCATGCGCATATGCGTTTATGTATGTGCATAATATCTTTATGCATGTGTATATGCATTTACGCATGCACATAATACATTTATGCATGCACGTTTAATGTATAACAGACGGTATAAGCTAGGCTAAAATTATCTAATTATCTATTTCAGTTAATGTTGCAGGTTGCGTTGTTCCTTAATCTTCTAATTGGATCCGGCTTATTATTTTTTGCAGACTGTTAGAGCAATTTTTATAAAAAGTAAGCTCGAACTTTCGATTATGTCAAAAAGAGTTTATGATTCTGGAGCTGCCAAAAGATCTACAAAGCGAAAGCATGTTTCGGTGTCCATCAAACAGAAAGTGGAATCGCTGCAAAAAATGGATAAAGGCATGAAGAAAGTGACAGAAAGGTTAGTGAAAACGAAAAAATTTCGATTCATAAGTTTAGTCGGTATTCTCGGCACAGCAATTACAGAACTTGAACAGCGGAACTTTGTAACTCAACAAGAAATTATGTCTGTTTATAGAATTAAAGAGAAAGTATTAGCACATAAAAGGAAGCAACTTAAACAACTTACATTGAAAGAAATGTTTAATAAAGTAAACAAAAAAATATTAAGCTTTTTTTTTGGGTAAATTCTGATACCCTTTAGATCATAATTGCTCTTTATTTCATAAATTGCGGTTTCATATTTTTAATTTTAGAATTTCTGCATGCCATCTTATCAGATTTAAATTGATGATCTATAATCTGGAAAACCCCTAATCCGGAATCGCCAAAGTGAGTCCGGATGAAAGACTTTGTACTGTAGTATATTTTTTAGTCTTATTTTTGTGATGAATTTCTGTGGCGACGCCGATGTACGGATTGTAGTTCAGATAACTTTAGGAAGTTTTTGGATGCTGTTAAGGAATTTTGTGTGCCACAGACTGAAGATGAACAAATTTCTAAATAAGGTAAGGGAATATTTGCTTTGCGTAGTGGTAAAATACATAACAGGTTTTTCCTTTTTTGTGTTATTTTATTGTTTGGTATAAAATGTAGTTTATTGAGATTATGTATTTTTTGTTTGCCTCTACTGTAGAATTGGGTGCTCTTTTGATTTTTTAAGTGAAAATATTATTGATGGACAAACTCAAGGGAGTGCGTAAAGCATATTTTGTGCAATTCTCTGATGTTTTTTTAGTGAAAATAGGTTGATGAGTACATGGATAAAGTCAAAGGAGTGCACAATGCCAATTTTGTGCAATTCGGGGATTTTTTTAAGTGAAAATAGGTCGATGTGTACATGGATACCGAGTTTGTGCAATTTTTTGACTTGTTATTTTGGCTTGCGTAGCAGCAATTTTTTCACCAAAAATCGCCGCTATGCAGGCCAAGATAACAAGTCAAAGAATCGCACAAACTCAGTATCTATGTACTGCCAAAAATCACCAAGTTTCACCAAGGGGTACCCTAAAATATACTTTTACCCATATTTAATACAGTAGCCAATAGGTTATGCAAATGGCAAAAAATATCTATTTTTTTAAATATTTCTACTGAGAAATTGAAAAATAATCTTTGTAAAATGTAGTGGTGGTACTAAATTTTTTCAGTTTTTGTTTATATGGTACGTGTTAGTCAAAAGGTTTAGAACTTCTGCTTTATCGCAATTACAAAGAGTCACAAGTTTTAATAAACATGAATTCATTATTAAGAAGAAAGAAACATTACTCAACTTGAGTAGAACAGTATTGGTTGGAAACTGCAGAAACATTTAAAAGGAAGTGATAAGCTGAATGTTCAAAAACTAGTTACATGAACTAATTTACTCCTTTCAAACATGTCATCAGTTCTACCTTTTAGGCTGCGGGCTTGCTATGGGAACATTTCCGAGGGAGAATAGAATAGTAGAAAGGCTGAATGGTTGATATTCAGTTTTATCTCACCAACTTTATACTTTTTAGCATACATCTGATCAAGTTTCATTATGCAGAAATACTAAATTCTTTTAATATTGCTAATTCAAGAAGCTAAATTTTTGCCATTAAGTAAACTAAGCATTTTAATTTTCTCCAAAGCACTTCAATTTTAAAGCTGAAGTGGTATAAACAGCAAAATATTTAAAATGCATACTCCTGTTTGAACAAAGTTAAAAACAGAAATAGGTATAAAGGCTTATATTCTTTATATTACTGCAAAATTTCGTTATAAATGCAGATGAAAGTATACCCAAAAAAAGTAGAGTTGGTAATTTTGCAGAGTGTTTAGAACACCCACTTAAAAAAAAAAAAAAAAAAAAAAAATAATAATAATAATAATAATAATGACAGTAATTTATGAAATAACATTTGTTACATAATACTAAGGCATCCGCCTAAGCGTTACAGTTTATTGTGAAAGCAGGTAATAGTGCACATGAAAAGTAGAATTACAGATTTTGCAGTCTTCAAATTAGAATTTATTTGAAATCTATTTTTAATAGCACTGTAGTATAAAATAACTCTTTAGAAAATATTGTTAAATTGTTCAGCTAAATGACTATTTAATGATTGACCTGTAATGATATTGAACAATAGATGTTTGTAATATTGATGATAAATGAAAGAACAGCATCAATTTATTGTGGATTTTATCATAAATTGAAAATAACAAACACCTCAATTTTTATACCTGAGATTCCTCCTCCCTCCCAAAGTGTTTATAGTATGCCAAGTACCTTTATTGTAACCTTTGCAGCAACAGATATATAATTGGTACTCAAATCACCACTAAAATTACATTGGTACATACTAAAATCCTGGAGCATGAATAAGACACAAGTATTGAACATTTTACTATAACAACTAGCTATACTTGTATCAAATACATTAATCTTCTTTTAGTCAGATTTAAAATGTTTTCTAAACTGGTATTCTGAACATGTGACTTGAACAGTGATAGCTAAAATGTTTGATAACTGTTGCAATTTAATGACGAATGTTATTACAATCACTCTAAAAAATGTAAAATGTACTAGTTCCAGCTGTAACTGTTGTTATTTATACTAAAATAAAAAATATTAAAATTACTATAATAGCTGTATAAAGTATAAAATAACTATAATTATGTTGAGGGAATTACACTATGATAAAATAAAAATTGAAAAAGCAAAGATAATTAGTGATTTACAGTTCAAGATTTTAATTGGCATTGATACAGTTTGTGTGGCAGATTGGTTATGGAAATACAGGCACATTATAGAAAGCAAAATTTATATAAGTACATTGCTATTTTAAGCTTTTTGTGAAAGAAATTTTGAATATCCTTACTTTTTTACATTTTCAGTCTTCTAATTTTATTGATATCTTATGATGCGCTGATCATTTGTTTGGAACACAGTGTGTGGTTTTAAGAACATTGTGTTTGGCAAGAAATTAACATCTTCCAAATAAAATTACATAATCTTTTAAAATACATTTACTTTATTTTTATATCAAATTTTAAAAGTTTCATGATCAAATTGTACGCTGTTATGAAAACTGTTAACTGTTTAATAAAGTATGTGTAATTTTTGCGTGGAGTAACACTGAAATATTAAAGTATAAAGCATATGAACTAAATGACAATGTAGGTGCACCTAGCTCTCATATTATTATTATTTTTTTTGTTTTGTTTGTTCATAAAAGGTTTTTAACTTCATGTGATATATCAGTTTTATATTTCACACAAAGAAATTTAAAAATAATTTGTAAGTAATAAATTTAAGAATAAACATATTATTCAGATGGGAATTTAATAATAAAATCTTTATTTACACGTTGTCTGAAATATTTCCTAAGAATAAAATATGCTTTTTTGAATTAGAACAGAAAAAAATAGATTTTTTGAAATTTATTGATAAAGAAATATTTTATATACTAATAATAAATTTTTTTTGTCTTATTAGCACTGTACATAAAGATAAAGACCTTATTAAAATTCACTTCAAAACTCCTCTTCAGCCTGCAAAAACAACCATTGTACGCCTGGAACTGGTCTTCACCCATTCTCTGGATCCACATCCATCTAGTATATCTCAGTCAGAGAAACAATTAGTTTTGTATCATGGCAACCATTACTATTACAGTCCATATCCTACGAAGACTCAAACTACTGTTGTCACTTTGCCCTCAAATTCCATTGAAAGTTTTTCTAAACTCAAACCTGTTGCACATAGTGATAATCTTATTACTTATGGACCATATGATAATATTCCACCATATAGTGTTGTGAGTATATTTTAAAAACTCATGTTTCAATTTTTATTCATGTATGTGTTTTTGATATAAAATGTTTTAGTACAAAATTCATGCTGCTAGATATATAAAGTTATTTAAGCTATTTAACAAATTTTTAGATGTTTAATTGTGAAAGACAGAATCCAGGAGTTGGAAATAACCATGGCATTGTCTAGTAACTAAAAATTTTGAACAGTATTGATTTGCATGTAAGAAAACCCTTATTTTTTAAAGCCTTTAACCAAAAGTAAAGAACCTTCATGTTTTAAAAATTAAGTATCATATCTTGATGTAAAATTAAGTAAATATGTTCGTATATGTAAAATTTAAGAACTAATTGATAAATTATATTAATACAGTACAAAGTCTGATTCCAATATCCGAAATGATCTAAAATCTGGATATCAAAAACCGCCAGCAGCTTTTTTTTTTTTTTAACGCTTTACACGTGTGCATTTGATTCCCCCCCAATAGATAAAACATGTGGAGAGTTCTGATTCGTAATTTCCATTCAACACTAAATAAATATCTCATTATTGAAGAAACAATAATTTAGCATAAATTTGTGTGATCAATAATTTGATGGGTAGCCTGTTAGCAAAGCAGAAGTTATACATGATGTTGGGTTTGTGCAATTCTCTGATGTGTTTTTCATTGAACACTGATTCCTGTGTGCACAAGAAAAAGAAGAGAGGAAAAACTACAGAACAATTTCTCAAAAAGTGAAAGTGTTTTTATTAATTTGTTATTTTTTTATATAGTTCTTATTTAATAATTAAAATCTGTACATTTTCTTTTGATATGTTGATAATGTTTACTGACTTAATGATAAATAAAGATAGTTTAGAGTTACTTTATGATAAATAAAGATAGTTTAGAAAGTTTCACAAAAAAGTCATGAAAATCATCAACTTGAACCAAACGAGTAACTTTTACCTTTTTATTTATAAAAATTGTTCATAATTGTGCAATCTTCTGTTGCCTTTTTTAAGTGAAAAAAGATCAGTACGTACACAAGGAGAACAGTTCTGCTCTCCCCGTGTAACTATTGCTTTTCTCACGTTCACAGCAATCTGCTTTTGTTTAAAAACACATCAGAGAACTGCCTCAATTTGCCATTACTCACATTAAACATTATGTATACTATATGGTACTTTACTGTTATTATATGTTAATTTTTTTCATGAAGCTTTACATACTTTTAGGGTTGCTGCCATTCAGTTTAATTTCATATGCCAGCATTTATGTTTGGCACTATGCGATGTCTCGTTAACAGAAAAGTAACCTTTTATCTTGCATTTGAACCAGAGTACTAAATATTTCATGACTCTGGTCTTATTTATTTTCCCCCCTCTTTCAATTTAAAACTGGGTATAATATTATTTGAAATCCAGTTTCATCCTAACATAAATGGTAATTAAACTTTAGTTTGACTAGTGTTATTGAGTTAATTTAAAAGATATTTTTATATGGCTGAGAATTTAAAAAAAAAAAAAAAAAAAAAAAATCTTTTATTCTTTGAAAGATAACTTTAAAATTTTCATTGTTCAAAATTATTGCATGTTTTTGTATAAGTTTCTCTTACATCTATTTATGCATCAGATTTTGAGAATCTAACTTTATAATGAAATTGCTGTAAAAACACTTTAAGCCTTGAAAGTGTGATTAAAAGTTTATTAAAAAATTACATTTTTCTAGGCACTAAAAATTATATTTTTATCTGTATGTGTGATGAGTTAGAATATACTAAATTCTGGCATTTATTGACATAATGAAATTCTTTTTGGTGTGTGAAATTATGCTGAGCTCTTTTTCCCCCCTGACATCTCAGAAGTTAAATCTGGGATAATGTAAGTGTAATATAATGTTATTAAATATTATAATTAGAATCAGGAATTCAGATATTGAATATAAGAAAATAATGTTTATCTAAAAATTTTGTTTGAAGTCTCATAGTTTGAGTGCATTATATGAATGTTATACCTTTCATAAATGAGTATTATTTATATGTATGAAGGAGCAGTCATCTTTTGTGTTGAAATTAATTGCAAATAATGCTTGAGCTCTTCAGAACTCAAGCTCAGCTATAAGAAGACCCAGTGTTTGACATTCATTTAAACAGAAATATATGTGTTTATACAGGTATTACGTATTTAAAAATATTTTTGTACATAAATAATGTAATCATATTTTGCACTGAACAAAAAGCAAGCCTTGTATCTTTTTAGATAAATTTAGTAAAAAATCTGTTTAAAACATAGTGCTCTATTGGTGATAAAACCTGGATTCTTTTTTTTTTTTTTTTTTTTTTTGTTTAAATCAAGAATAGTGCATTTCTTCTTGATGTTTTTATAAATGCACAGTATGTACTTTATTAGAAAATATTTTGTTTAACATTATTTTTGAAAGCAATTTCAAATAATTCTTCATAAATATTTTATCCTTTTTAGAGCAAAATGACTATTCATTGTGAAAATAACAGCCCGTTCCTTACCATAACAAATTTGAATCGAGCTATTGAAGTTTCTCACTGGGGTGTTATTTCTGTCGAGGAAAACATTGATGCTGCACACACTGGTGCTATACTGAAAGGTCCTTTTTCCCGTTATGAGTTTCAGAGAGATCAAAGTGGAATAGCGTCTGTTAAGTCATTCAAGGTTAAGTATACTTTTCTTTTATTTATCCTTTGAAACTTTTAATTTGCAGCTGTTTTGAAATTAAATTATCTGAAAGTAGTTGATAAATGAATAGTACAACTTCATTTCTAGGTAAAATTTAAATTAAATGTAGGTTTTTAATTTTTATAGAAATGGTACACAAGTTACATTTTCTCGAATCCGAATTCTATGATTCTGGAATTTTGTGAATCCTTCATGTAAAAAAGTATTAATAAAAAAGTGAAAAGAAATGAGAAACAAAACTGTTATGTAATATTGAAAGTTTTTAATTAATCCTATACAACTCATTTTTGGGGTGGGGGTAGGGTAAAAAAAATTTAAAACTCCTGCTTATACACAGCTCTCTTCTATGGAATGAAAATGGGTTGAACAAGATGTTGCATTACAAACTGTAACTTGATTATAGTGAGTTCATAATAGTACATCATATGAAACTAGCATTTATGAGCAAAAAAATATGTAAGCTGTTACTGTTAAGTTGTATCTGACGATAGAGAGTTAATGCAAAAACTGAATTAATGAAAAACAAATGTAAGAGTATAAAAAGGTTTTAAAAATGCATGTATATTTTTTAAAATGATACAAAGGATATTTGGTTAATGGAGTATGTAATTAAAACTCCCGAGGTTAATTTTTTTAATGCAGCTTGTCAAAAGTATTTTAGTAATAGTTCACATTTTTTTAACATTTTCTCAGAATCTTTTTAAATCAAAGCAAATGTGGAGAGGAAAGGATTAGAATTAATAAAGATAAAAATGAAATGTATTCTCACATTTAAAAGTGTAGCTCTAAGTACCATGAGACGCTTTTAGCGATCTATGGCCACCGAAATTTCTATAATCATGTTCTTCTTTCTTTCTTTTTAATACCTGTGTTACCTGTGTTAGATATCAGTAAAATTAATCTTTCTAAAATTTTTACTTGAAACATTTGATATTTTTTATATTAGAATTTGAAATATTCGTATGATAGTAAAAAATCTGAAGATTCAAGTTTTTAAATCCAAAACTTCCTTTAAGATTCATGGAATTTAAGAGTCTATAGATTCAAATGTCCCATTCCTGATAATCAGTTGAGTTGTTTATGCTAAAGATAAAATGCAAGTAAAAAATTAGTTAACTATGTGAGGTATAATAAATGTTTCTTTTTAGCTTCCCTTCCATTAATATATATAATAATACCCCTTACCTATCACCTGAAATTCTAAATTTGAGGAATAAGGTCCCCTCCCCCCAGCATAAGTGTATTTGGTATTGGTGCTGTGCCATTTTCTTCTTCACAAAATAATTATTTTGAAGTTAATAGAGAAGTGAATCATTTTTCCTTTTTAATTGGCACAATCTGGATCTTGAAGGAAAAATCTGGATTAGAAATTGGTGTTGAGTATATTGTACAACTCCTGAATTCCCGTAACGAAAACTTCGTTTTGAACATTTTTAGAAGAGAGGAAAAAAAAAAAAAAAGTCTCAATAGAGAAAAATGAAAATAACAATTAAAGTTAAAAAAAAAAAAAAAAAAAAAAAAAAAAAAAAAAACTGAAATGTTTCAGATTTTAAATTACGTCCAAAGGGGCGTTTTTTAACATTTTGTGTGTTACCTTTCTTTATTAAATATCATGTTCCTCGCACTTAAACCATAAGATCCAGTGCAACAGCAATATCGCAAAATAGTTTTAAAACGAGCATATCTTTAGAATTTCCGATACAGAGACTCACGCGCTGGAGATAAAAATGTTTTTTCTGCACAACGTTGCCATTGCTCGCTTTGAAATCCTTGAGCTTGTTAATCAAAAATTCGTCAAAGTTTTAAAAATAGGAAATCGATCATAAAAAAAATTTCAAATTTGGTCTTCCACATGCTCATATTCGTTGGAGGATTACGTTATTCAAAATTCGATGACTCTATGTACCGTTATTTTATGACAATGTGAGAAATATACATACATTTACGCAGATTTTCATTATTTAATTTCTTCAAATATAATGCAGGACTCTAACATTTTATGGCAACAGTTTGAAAAGTGAACCGACATTTATCCGTCCGATGCAAAATGCCAAAACGAAACTAATAGTCCTTCGGGATTCAAATCCCTTTGGACTAAAAAAATCAGGAAAAAATGAAGATATATGGTGTAGAGCTATTAAGAAACAAACAAGTCTTTGTTTGCTCACCTTCTGTGTGGAATTTCTTATTTACAAAGCCTATTCATTGTAACGAAATCATCTAATTGTATAATTGTAAACTATATACATTTATAAATACTGATGATTTTTGTTTCACATACAGTTATCATAAATTTTAATGGTATTGTTGTTAAAATTTTTATTAATTACAAATGAATGTGATCATTATTTTCTTGGTGAAAATTAATTGCTTAATATGTCCCTCCTTATTTCAACACTGCATCTATTAAAAAAAAAAAAAAAAAAACATGTTATATCAAAAGTCTGGGAACAGACTTATGGTAGTTTTGGAGTATTACTGTTATCGCCATATGTATATATAAAAGATAAAAGAGATGACGTTACATACATTCACTATATTTTGCAAGTTTTATTATAGTTATATACAGTTACTAAGAAAAAGTGCTTTTTTTTTTTTTTTTTTTTTTTTTTTTTTTTTTTCCATTTTAATGCAGAAAATTAAGTTTTTATTATCTAAAGCTGTATTTTCCAAATATTTTAACATCAATACTGATAAGCACATAATTGTCATTTATTTCAACCCATATATATGCACTAATCTAAAAAATAAATAAAGGAGTTTTAAAAGAAATATAATAATGGAAAAGTTATATATATATATATGTAATTATTAATTAAATAGCAATTATGAATTGACAGTTATAAATCTGTTAATGATCCATTATATGCTGGTTTTTAACCCATACTTTGGAAACTATTGATGTAAGATTTTGTCTAGAAAACTAGATAAATTAAGAATATAAATAATTACATTGTGCCGCTTTCCATTATTTCAGACTGTATTGCCAGCTTCAGCTAGTGATGTTTACTACCGAGATGAAATAGGAAATATATCTACTAGTCATTTACGTGTTTTGGAAGATTCAACGGAAGTCGAACTGCGTCCCCGTTTCCCTCTGTTTGGAGGGTGGAAAACATACTACACTCTTGGTTATTATGTGCCTACATATGAATATTTGTATAATAGTGGTAAGAGTAGTTTATTTTGTGTTGTAATTTCAATATTTTATCTTTCTTTCACCCTTCTAATGTGTTAAGAGTGATGCAAAATTTGTTTATGAAATTCATATTTATGCTGTTAGCTTGAGGTTATAAATATCTTAATCACAAAAGCACTGAAGTAAAGTGTTCTAGTCAAATTAAGTGCTCTCTTTAGAGGTGTATTGAGCATTATGTAATTAATGCCAAGCATGCCCACCCAATAAAGTGATGTTATGTGAACTTCCATCTAATACCAACAAAGACAGCATTATTTCTGCACTCAAAAGTTCATTGGATTCTCCACTAGCAAATAGAAGATCCAAAGCTCCCACCCCCATTTTCTTGCCCATGTTGTAAGGGATGAAAATGTTGATAAAATTTACGATTTGAAAGATCTCTTGCATTTTTTATCAGCAGTTGAAAAGTATATCTCAAAGAAGTAGGTTCCACAATATCGTGATTGTCAATGGTAGTACTATTCTTCCAAGAATTGTTTCCTTGCTGCACAGTGTGTAAAGTGCTCTTTAGAACACTGATGGCTTATCATATGCAGACACGGTCAGAAGGCAAGATGTTAATTCTAAGCTTAACCAAGTTGGAAGTACCCCAGAATTGGTTGCTGCTGCAGTCAGTAACTTGTTAAGTGAATTTTCTGATAATAAAAGTCCTAATACCCAAAAAAGCAATCCCTTAAAAATACTATGAGTGCTAATGGAAAATATCATATCTTATATTTTCTGAGCCTTTTCAAATGTATCTCTGAAATTGATAAAATCTTCAGAAAAAATCAAATTGTAGCAATGATAAAAGTGTTCAGAAACTATGTGCCCAAATTGAAGACGTTAACAGACCTTTTAGATAAAATGTATATGCATATAGAAATTTTCAATGAAATCAGTAATTATGGCACAGATTAGTGCTTATAAATGTAAATCTTAACTATTTTTACTGCACCCAAGATTAGATTATATCAGATTAAATAAATTAAATCCAGCTCTGCCCTTATAATATTCCCAGCTTAGTTGCGTAACCATCTGAGTGGCCAGAGTTTTCACTAAGAAAGCACAAATTTCCCAAAACTAGTATGAGAACAAAGTATTTTTTTGATTTTACTCTAAAAACTCTGCTGGTATTTTATACCTGCATTTGTGTACTTTTGATATGTTGCATTAATTTCTTTGAGAAATTTTAATATGCATGTATTCATACGTTCTTACAGATATCACAAAAAATATTTTAGGCTGTGTATATACGGCCTTGCCGCTTAGAGGGTTAATGTTTTTCTCTTTGTCAGTTTTCTTAAATTCCTCAGTTAATTTTCTTCAAATTCTAAATTTCTCTTTCAAAGTTATTTACACTTATTTTTTTGGCTGACTATATTACATGTGGTTCTGAAAGAGTCTCTGCTCATCAACCAATGTGTAATTTCCTCAATTTTATGCTCTTTTGCTATTCTTTTCTACTGGCTCCTTGCTTTCATATGACCATTGGTCATACCTTGATCCCTATTAACCCAGTGTAACTAAGAGTTCTTAACTTATTCTACCTTATCACCACACTCTACATTTTGCTTTCTTCTCGCATGTAAAATTATTAGCGTTCTTTTCTCATCTAACATAATGTTAAATTGAAATGCTCTTTTGTTTCCCACAGCCCTCAGCTTTTCAGCTATTGTCAGCTACTATATTAGTACAAAAATCTTGATTGCATACTTTGCTGGTTTGTTCAGCGTATACTGATCGAACCCAAATTGGCTAAGGAAAAGGATTCAGGCTTCTCATCAATAGTGATGTTCGCCTGAGTTATAGGAATCTTAACACTCTGAAATAAATCTGCCAAAGAAATATCTTTATTGCTGCTATTTTATGCAAAGCTTCTTCTCTGTGGCCTGCCTACCAAATTATGAAATGCATGCAATGTAAAAGAAATGAAAATCACTTATAGGGCAGAGTGCTATGAAAAATTTTAATACCTTTTCCATCAGCCTGCCTTATATATTGAGGTGCAACAATCTGTGTGAATGCTGCATAAATATAAAAGTCCTATAAGAGCTTTCATCTCAACCAGATCCATAATTTTTGCATCTCTTTCATGTTTGTATTGTGACATTATACAGTCAAAAGTCGTTAATCCGGACTCTTCGGGACATCGGCGATTCCGGATTATCGATTTTTCCGGATTATAGATCATCAGTTTAAATCTCGTAAGATGGCATGCAGAAATTCTAAAATTAAAAATATGAAACCGTAATTTATGAAATAAAGAACAATTATGATCTAAAGGGTATCAAAATTTTCAAAAAGAAAAAGCTTAATATTTATTTGTTTACTTTATTAAACATTTCTTTCAATGTAAGTTGTTTAAGTTTTGCTTCATTTCATGTGATAATACTTTCTCTTTAATTCTATTAAACAGACATAATTTCTTGTTCAGTTACAAAGTTTCGCTGTTCAAGTCCTATAATTGCTGTGTCTAGAACACCGATTAATTTGTCAATCGAAATTTTTTCGTTTTCAATAACCTCTGTCACTTTCTTCGCTATGGAAAGCGAATTATAATGACGAGGAACTTGTTTTAAATCATATCAAAGACGGAGCATATCGAGATGAAATACTACATTTGGTAAGGAATTATAAGCCAAATAAAATAAAAACATCTGCGCTGAAGATAAGGATAGTGTTGACAGATCAACTTCCAATTCATTACGCGCCCGCCGCGGCGATCCCCCCCCCCCCCCCCCGCCGAGCAGCGTGAAATTGATAAACAGATTTCGGATTTCAAAACATACTTTCGCTTTAGATCCTTTACATATTAACAAATATATATCGGAAATTCTATTTGATATAATCGAAAGTTTAAGCTTACTTTTATAAAATTGCTCTTACAGTCTGCAAAAAATAATAAGCCGAATCCAATTCGAAAATTAAGGAACAACGCAATCATCAACATTAACTGAAATAGATAATTAGATAATTTTAGCTTATATGTCTATTATACATAAAACGCGCACGCGAAAACGTATTCTGCACTTGCGCACACTCATATGCGCAGTCGTAAAAGGTCTTACATGCACACGTAAACGCCTATGCGCATGTGTCAACGTGGTGCATGCGCAGAAAGTTTTTAGTTTTGAGGTCCGGATTATAGGTCATTCCGAATTATGGGTGTCCGAATTAACGACTTTTGACTGTATCAGAAATATATGAAGTTGTACAACTGCATTCATTGATAATAGAATATTCTAGCTACTAAATGGATCAGTAACATTTCTTGCTTCCCTTACTGGATCTGGAAGATGAGACATAATGTTATACAAACAGAACTCGCATGTTATCCAAATTTCTTTTTCTTCACATCATTTTTCCATCTTCTCCTACAAAATCATCCACTTCAGAAACATTATTTTCGAATATTTCATCATCATCTTCTGTATCTGTGTTATGTTCACTAAATATTTCATTTTTGAGTGAGTCTAATCTTCACTTTCAAAGTGCAGTCTTCATCACTTTCCACTGATTCTATTAGTCTTGTCTTGCATCTTCAATTCATTCGGACTCATTTTCTTTCACATAATGCGATTTAGGCATCTTAAGAAATAAGTTCAAGTCCTTTTACATGCTGGAAATCAACTTCTCATAAACTAAACATTTTATCAGAAAACTACTTACACGGGCAGGTACATGGAATATCCCAGTTTCAATGAAATATCAATAACTTCTTTTCTAAACACATGTGTATACCTATTCTGGAGGTCAACAATATGTAGAAACACAGTTATTCAATGCATTAGGAAATTTAGGTTTCACAATTTGCGTTTATTCTATTTTTTTGTTGGGGAAGGGATGTAATATATCCCATGCCCTTTTTCACGGATTAACCAGATTTTATTTGATTCTAAAAATAATTTTAAAAAGATTCAAACTGATTTGATATATATATATATATATTAAATTTACATGTCTATGTAATAAATTAATGATGCAGAAGTGCATTTAATAAAGTGCTCAGCAAAAGATTCTAAAATTGCAAAGTATGTGATGGGTAGAATCATTTATCCTGTTTTTGAGTGAGTATCAAATATTTACCTCTGTTATGAATAACTTGAAGTACTTCAGCTTCTCTCAATAGAATTTTTAGGAAGGTGAGACTTTAATACTGGTTTGATCTGCTTTGGTTAAACTGTATGAATCATATTAAGTTGTTGTGTAATTATATGTTAACTGGCAGATATTTATTTGCTTTTAAATATATTTTCTAATAAAAAAAATTTTGTGTATTTCAGGAGATCAGTATGTTTTAAAAATGCGTTTTGTCGATCATGTGTTTGATGACAGTGTGATTGATCAATGCACAGTTCGTGTCATTCTACCAGAAGGCAGCAAGTAAATAATTGCATTTTTAGAATTTTATGTGCTTTGTATAATTTTCAGAAACTTGTATTATATTTTATTAAAATAGTTAAAATGATTTCTAGAAATATGTGGTAAAACTTGTATTATTATAGTTGATTTTAGTTTTCTTATTATGTTTATTTCATTTGATAATTATTATTTTACTTTTCTCAATTGAATAATATCTCTATAAGATATTTATTTTTTTATGGAAAGCCTATGATGCATCCATGAATGCTTATAAAACTTTTTGGTAATTAGTATTATTTCATTTGTAGATCATTATTGCAAACTATTGAAAGTTCTACATAATATTGTGTTGTTTACTATTCAGTCTGCATTTTTTATGTTTATCATTATTTTTCTTTTGTAATTTTATACATTTAATATGGTGTAATGAGTAGTGGACACTCTGCACAAGGTTTGCTGTTTGGGTATGAGAGACTGATACCTTCCTCTTTAGGCTCACTAAATGGCAGACTTCTGTGGTGTAGAAGTACTTCTGTGTGTACAGCTGTTCTGTGTGTTCTGTGGTGTGTTCTGTAGTGTGTTCTGTGGTGTAGAAGTACTTCTGTGTGTACAGCTGCGCCACCTGTTCTTCAAGTGGGGGAGCTGTACTGCAGGTGTGAAATAGGGCATACTTTTCGCAGGTGTTCGCATTATTTTGTCCTCCATCTGTGCTAAGGAACATCTGCTTGTTGTTCTTCCTCTTGTACACATGATTACAAACATACTATGTTACTGAGTTTAATAAAGCCTTTTTTTGTGCAATTCCATAGTGTATGCATTGTATTCATTTTTGAGCAACTATGCTTTCCTCATCTTTTAAATAAAAAATACTATTTCTCATTTATGAATTTCATGTCTCTTGGATGATTTCTCATAGAGGAAACAAAAGAACACTTGTTGCTTAAGTTTTGCACACCAGTGTGTAATCATTGATATGGGGAGAGTTTTTTTTTTTCTTTCCCAAGGTTAGAGATTCTTTTATGTATTTTTTTTTTAAAAAGCTTGTTTTTAAAAGTAATTTTTTTACAAATTTTATTATTTTTAATGAATTCGTAACATTTTTGGATGATAACAAATTAAGCAGCATAAGAGCAAATGTTTACAAGTCCCTCCCCTCATCAAATATCTTAAATGTGGAATTTTTATTTATTAATATCTGGGAAAACACATAAAAATTAATTGAAATTGCTAGTCATTAAAAAAAAAGTTAGTTCATATAGCATGTTATTTCTATTTGAATATTTCTTTTTTCCAGCAGAAAAATACTCTGGTTATGAACATGTTCCTTACAATTATTTTTGTGATGAACACGTTCATAACCAGAGTGAACCAGTTCATAACCAAATATTTTTGTGATAGGGAATATAAGTCATATTCCTATTCTTGTATCAAATTAAATACAGACACAGTAGCTGTATCAGCTGTGTTCAGCATGGTAAATGTAATATACCGTAATGTACAAAGGTGATGTATTACAACTAACCTCATCTGTTCTTACATCTGTTCCTGATTTTTTTCTTTCCACTTTGGGAAGTGTGTTAAAGATATTGTGTTTGGTTTACTTCCTCAATCTAATAGGGTCTCAAAAACTGCATTCTTATTGCTGTGGAAATAATAACAAAAGGTATATTGTTGTAAATACAGCAAGAATTTGATCATCTTAATGTTGTTCTTGTAACTGAAAGAAATAATAATATAGAGAGCTCTGTTAAGTAAAACATGAGTAGTTTTCTTTGCATTTTATATATTACCTTTCAATATAGGTTTATAAGTTTTGAAAATATAGCCATTTGGGAAACATTAGTTATTTTGAATACTTCTACATATCAATTACCAGTTTAATGCAAATTAACTCTAAATTAGAGAAGATTTTCTTTGGGTCTACCATTTTCTACAAATAATGAATTTTTTATATAGGATAGATATTTCATTTTTTATCTTACTTTGCAAAATCCAAGAGAACTTCATTTCAAATTTTCTCTTGCTTAAAGGTATAGTTGAATATCCTTAAAGTTTGCTACTAAACACATATATACTTACTGTGCATTCTTGTTTTATGCATCACTGTAAAGGAAATAATTTAACTGAAAATGAATCTTATATGTGTGTTTTAATTATAATTAATATTATATTTGTATATTTAATTTGTTTTTTAGGAATATTCAAGTTAAGATGCCATATGCTGTAGAACGCTTGCCTAATGAATTGCATTATACATACTTGGATACTGTTGGACGTCCTGTCATTGTTTTACGTAAAACCAACCTTGTAGAGCAGCATATCCAAGATTTTGAAGTAAGATACTTAAGTTATTAAATTAGCTAAAAGAGATCTGTTTAAAACAAAAAATTAATGTTGTTAAAAAAAATTGTTTGTTAAAAAAATTGTTTGTTAAAACAAAAAATTGTTTGTTGTCTGTTTAAAACAAAAAATTGTTAGTTAAATTTTTTAGACTTGTAAAAGAAAATATTTTCAATAGTATCATACGTTTTATTAGTTATTTGTGATGTTTTCATCACAAATACGTGAACTGATTTATTTATTATTTTTACTTGCTTATTTTCAAATTTTACCTCTTGAAAACAGAAAGGGTGAAATTATGAAAATATTTCTCTTTCAGTTTTCTTCTGTTCAATAATTCTTCATATACTGGTGAATTTTAAAGATGCTGTACCATGTGTTATGGCATATATTTTAAAGTAAATAATAATTAATGCTATAAAATGTAATATACTGGGTGATTTAAAAATCAGTTAAGTTTTTTAAAATGTATATTTCAGTGAAGGATTTAAAAGAATTTTATTATGTAAATTTTTTAATTACTCCTTTATAAAATAAGGTGGGAAAACAACAGCTGCTGTAGATTTTAAGTAAAACATTATCTGTTTTGAAAGTGAACTGACATGTAAATACATTTCTCTCTTCAGAAGGAAAAAAAAAAAAAATTCCCCCCTCCCTTGATAAATGTTTCCAAGTAAGCAATACTAAAAAACAAGGAGGGGACAAACAGACAAGAAAATGAAATAGAAAATTTATTCAATATAAAATTTATTACTGACTTTGTTTCATTGGAACTTAAGTCATGTTTTTTAGAGCATTATTTTCCACTGAGTTCTAACATAACTGCATCCAGCAAAAAATTTTATATTTGTTTATGTTAATTTTTATGCTGAATTGTTTCATGTGTGTGGTTACTTTCATTTTATGTGTAGCATCAGGATAAATTTTACATGCCTAGTTACTTTATAAAAAAAATCTCCAACAGAAAATGAATAGCAAGGAAAGCTATTATCACAGATTTTCAAATCAATCTGGAACATGTTAGTAATGTTACATTTCTAATTGCAATGCAGGGTTGATGATTAGACCAACTTTCCTTGGAGCCTTCTTGAATGACTATGTATGTGACATGGGTGTCCATATATGGGACTGGTGAATACACACATAAAAAAAGGGGGGGGGAGTTCTAACCTATGATGGAATGTAATATATATATTTTCTTATTATCACAATTGGTTCTAGTATATGGGCTTAACAATGAAACATCATTGTCATTCTAAAATAACCTACGTCGGAATTGAGAATGTAAATATGAAATAGTTTCTTTTTTCTAAAAGTTCCTAAGTTAGTATATAGTATATATGATGTAATATATATATATATATATAAAACATAATTTAATTTTTTATAGGTTCATTATGAATATCAAAAGATTCTGATGTTGCAAGAACCACTTTTAGTAGTTATAGCCTTGTATCTTCTTTTTCTTGCTGTTATTTTTTATGTTCGTCTAGATTTCAGCATTACCAGAGTAAGTAGTGTTGGAGTATTAATTTTAAGTAGTATTGATTGTATTTTAGTATTCTGATTTAAAAATATGCATATCCTTGAGTATCTCACATAATGTTTCATATAATGTTTTCTAATTTTTTTGTAAGATTTGTATGGTATGCTGGCTTTTTTATTACAGTGCTGTGTATGAAAATATGAGAAAATATGTTTAGGGTTTCCTTCAATCAAAATAACTGTATAACTGAGATTTAATATGGTTAACTCGCATAAGCTAAAATAAACAAGACTGTCTTTAGGAAAAAAGTATTTTTCTGTACTGTTGATGTTAGATGACTGCCATGGTATTGTACCATAACAATAATCATTGTCCAGTTGAAATGTTTGTGATAGACTAGTGACAATAAAAATAGCATGGATGTTTTAAAGTGTACACATAATATTTGGAATGTTCAAATTCAAACCATACTGTAAATTTCAAAATAAAAATGATAAAAAATGTATATCTGGAAAAGCATGGTAACAGATGTTATATTACCTTCAGAATTCAAAGGACACAACTCGCCTCCCACCCTTTGAATATTTGCTTTATAAACATGGTATAATCTTTTATCCTATTATCCTAAATTGCATCAATCTTCGAAAATTCTATAAATTATGCTTTCATATTTTATAGACCTTAATTAATATTCAATTTTTAAATCTCTTACATATAAAGGCCTTATACATGTCTATAAGAATTTGCTATTGCTGGCTTCATATGTTTAAAAATTTTATCACATATTAAAATTTTTTTGCAAATAAAATTTGTAAAATAAATAGTAAAAATAAAATTTTTGTTCTAATAATGTTGAACAGTTTTGTTGGCCAATATTTACACGATGGGGAAAGACATAATTTCTTTTTAATATATGTTTCTTTTTAGTTAACATCTTATGCATTCTGTGTAAATAACCAAGATTCCTTTGTAATTAACTCCAAAGTAAATTTTTGTGGGAAAAATTTCCATTGATACATTTTTTCATTGTCCTCAAAATAAATGTTTTATTTGTGTACTTCTTTACATAATCATTTTATTGATCCTTTTCTGTCTGTCTAAGGATTCCTATAAACTAAATAAATGCAAGAATTTGTATAGAGTTATAAGTAATTCTCCATTGCTTCTAAAAGGATTAAATAAGTAAAAACCCTTAAAACTGTAAGATTAGTAAAATGAAAAGAAATTAAATTGGGCATTATGAAGTATACATATTGCAGTATGGTGGCTGCTCTACTACTTACAACAAGAAATGGGAAAAGGTCCTCACCTCATTTGTGAGGTATACCAAAAGGCCAATTAGGCAAAAGAATTTGGAAATCATAAAATTTTGAAGTAAAAAGAAAGCCAAAAATGAATTAGACTTCTTTCCTCTGTCCAGAACAGATTTATTGACCTCGCCAAAACTCTATTATTATAATACAATATTTACAAACACACATTAAAAAAAGTTACTATTCCAGTGCAATAAGAATGAATTTAAACCAAAGTGAACGCTTTTGTAAAACAATTCAGTAGAATAATCTACATAGTACAAACAATGCTTTTATAGTTTAGTAATAAATTTCAAACTAAAAGTAATACGATAAGAAATCCAGTAAGAATACATAAGGTCAATAGAAAATTAAAACATTGAATACTTATTATTGCACATACGATTGCGTTTCATTATCGTAAATATGTTTCATAAATTTTATTAAGATCAATCGTCCGTTATCATTATTTAATAATTTTCGGAATGAGTCTAGGTTGATGTTCTGTTTGAAAAATTTTCCCAAATCCGAGAATTCAGAACAATCTATTAAAATATGCATTGCGTCAACCAGTCGAAGTCCACTGGGACATCTTGCTCTCAAAACGTTATATTGATTCAGATATGCTGGGAATGCACCATGTCCAGTTAAGATTTGTGTCAGGAAAAAATCTGAACATATACGTGAAGTTTTAACTTTTGGAATCAAGTTGTAAGTATGTTGACTTATTTCTAAGTTATCCCATCGTCATTGCCTTTCCTGCAAGTTGCTCAAGTTGCTTTTTAATATAACTTAGGGCTGCTTTACATCCAAAAGAATTTCTTTGCTAATTCCTTCCTTGGCATATTGTCTGCTGTTTCATTACCGATGAAGCCGGTATGTCCTTTAATCCAATGCAAGTAGATTGTTTGCTGGGATAGAAAATTTCGAATATCTTGTACTATCTTCAAATTTGAATTAAATTTCATAATTTCCTCTAAAGCCGCCTGGCTGTCTGAGAAAAGGTAACAGGACTTTGAAGGAAGATTTTGGTTCATCCATTGCGGAGCTTAAAAGATAGTATTTATTTCTGCTGGAAAACTGTGCAGTAATCATGCAGTTTAAAGGATTGCTGCTTAATTAGTTGACCATTAAGTAAACACAAAATGTTGCACCAACTCCAGACTCCATCTTGGAGCCATCTGTGAAAATTTCCACTTTTGAATTTGTTGGAGGATCTGAATTCCATGTAATGCCTTAAATTTGAGCTGGATGAACTGTCCATTTCGGAAGTACTTTTTCAATATCATTTGTTGAGATGATCAAATTATAAAACTTTACATCAACATTGTCATTCTTCGATGTTAAAAAATGTAACCTCCATATCCAATTGGATATCTATAGATAGTAAACCTGAGATTACCTGCAAAGAGGAGTTAGAAGCAGTTTTATATCCTCTTGTAAGTGCCAAAAGGATTGGACAATTTACCTTGGGAATTCTATCTCTCATTCTTGCTGAATGTATATCCCACTAAGCTCTGCAAGATTTTTCATTTGATTCAGTCGGTTGACAGTTCTTCCAATTTTGCCTTTGAGGTATTCAAATATGAGGAAGCCATGGTAGTTTTTTGTCTAGTTTTTCGAGACTAGGATATTTTATTTTTTAACTGGTTTGATAAAAGTACCTCCAATTGAGATCTTTGGAGGTCTTAATTTTGGGCTTCTATAAGGAAGGAACAGTAATGTAGACTTTTCTTTAGAAAATTCTAGTTTGAGTTTTCTTGACCATTCTAATAATTTCGATACAGCCCATTTAGCTCTGTGCTCAATCTGAGCCACTGAAGATCCTGAGATCATTAAGATTAAATCGTCTGCATAGGTTTGGGTTTTTGTGCCGTCGCCAAGATGGAGTTCTAAAGCTGTATTCATAATTATGTTCCAATATAAGGGATCCAAGTTGGATCCCTGAATGCATCCCTTTTCTTGCTTTTGTTCCACTTTTATTCCTGAATAGTCATGCACAATAAACCTATCTTTTAATGTATCATTAGTGACTTGGAATAAATTATGTGGGCATTTCAATTGCTTTAGTTCATATAGAAGTCCACCATATATTATTGAAGGCACTCTTTATGTCCAGTGAGATAATACAAGTATGTAATTTATTGTCTTTACTGTTATCAACAAATTTTATGATTTGTTGAATTGCATCCGTAGTACTCTTACCTGGCGTGAAACCATATTCCGATGACGTCAATTTATTATTTGAGAATAGATAGAAACTTAAGTGAGATGTAATCAGTATGTCATACACCTTACTCCATGCCATGAATAGGCATATTCGTCTATAAAAATCCACTTTATGGGGATCTTTGCCGTCTTTGCTAAAAAGCACCAATTTTTCCCGTTTCCAGTGCTTTGGGAAAATACCCTGTTCTAGAAGGTTATTGAGAAAATCAGGCATTAGTTTAGGGTTTGCCAGGTAAATTTCTTTATAATTTCTTTGGGAAGATCATCTGTACCCGTTGACTTACCAGGATTCAGACTGTTTATTGCATTTAAGACGTCTGCTTCAGTGAAAGGTAAATCTTTTTCAGTGTAGAAGGGCTTGTGAATATCTCGTCTTGGAGATTTGTGATAATCCAAATTTTCCGAAAGAGTATCTGAAGGAAAATGATAACACAATAGTAGTTCAATCGTGTCTCAGATATTGTTTGTTTCAGAACCATCGGGTTTTTGAATTTTACTAAGTTGGAAAGGATGTTTTAAGGCATCTTTTGCAATATCATGGTGAGATCCAAATAGGGAACTTGAGGTAATAGAACTTAAATGCTTTTTCATACACTGCCTTTTGGATTTCAAGAGTTCTCTTTTATATATAGCAGAGTTCTTTTTTCTATGATAACTTGTAATGTGCATGAAAATCTTCATCGCATGTACACCGTTGAAATCTCTTTCTTTTTGCTTTTACTTTATTTCTCAAGTTTTGAAGATTTATGTTCCACCATGTGATTCTTTTGTGATTCTTTGTGATATTATTATTAGTAGAGGTTGGTTGAAGCTCTTAACAAATTTGCTTCTGTCCATTAAACGAGAATGTGGTTTAGTGTATTAGAGTCATTAATTGACGCTATTGTTTTAGAAAAAAGTATTCACTAAGTTTTAATTTTAGCTTAAGCCAGTCCATCTTTAAAAGATTAAACCGCCGTCTCCGAGATGCAATCCCTTCTTCACTTCTAACCTCGAGATATAATTGTGGTCACTACCTGAGATCTCATCCAAAACCGTCCATTTTGTAGTGAGTGGAATGATACTTGTTACTTTTGTCATAGTAGCATCAATTCAGCTCCTACCTGTACTACAGGAGTAGGTAGGAATGCTGTTAGGATTGTTTTCAACAAGATTGTGTGTGTTTGAAAATTCATTAATCTCCACACCTCTTGGATCCTCAAAAGAAGATCCCCAGGTAATGCTTTTAGCATTAAAATCACCAGCTATTATTGTTTCAAAATCATATTTTCTTAAATCCTCCTCCAATTTTCTTAAGTTCTCTGTAAGCTCACAGGAGGGAGAACAATAGCTGTTAATAATAGGAATTTTCTTGTTTGATAGTTCAATTAAAACAGAGACGACGTCTCTGGAGGCTGAGGTCTTTAAGATTGGTAAATTGAGATTTGTTATAATGATTAGCGCTCTGGGATGATGAGAGTTTTGATCACATATTAATTTATTTGTGATAGCAAAACCCACTGG